CTCTCCAGGCTAGGTCTCCGACCAGCTAGGGGAAAAGGAGTTAATTAGCGTCGGACGGACGTGTATGATTGATAATTCATCGTGGCTCGAAGGATTTCTTTGATACTCACACTTATCTCTCGTTTTCTTGGCCAGCACTTCGTCGAACGACTCTTGCTTGTAAGTTTGGTCGTACGCGGCGGTCGTCGACATGTCTGTCTTGTAGTCAATACCCTGTTGGTAGTCCTGCTTGTTCGCCGTGGCGTAGTCTTGAGTACCGTAGCCCTGCTGGTACGCATTGGCTTGGTACTCTGTATTTGGGTACCCTGTGTCCTGGTACGTCCCATCCTGATATCCCTGGGTCTGATAGGACGTGTCTTCGTATGGCGTAGCCTGGTAGCTGGGGTCCTGGTAGCTGGGGTCCTGATAGCTGGGATCCTGGTAGCCTGCGGTTTGGTACGAGCTGTCCTGATAACTGGGGTCTTGGTAGGTGGCGTTTGGCTCTTGATACGTTGCAGCAGGTTCTTGATAGCTGGCATTTGGATCTTGATAACTAGGATCCTGATAACTTGAGTTTTGGTAACTTTGACCCTGATAACTGGCATCCTGATAGCCGGCATCTTCGTAACTGGTACTGGTACCCTGGTAAGTAGTGTCTTGGTAACTTTGATCCGGGTACGTTGTATCCTGGTAGGTTTGGTCCGAGTACGCGTCCTTGTAGCTTGGTTTTGTGAAAGAGTTAGTTTGGTCTTGGAAGCCCGGTTTGTTGAAGGTTGCTGGCTGTTTACTGAATGCGGTGCTGGTGTCTTGGTACGGTTCTTTAGAGAATGCAGTTTTACTACTGGACAGGAAACTAGGTTTCTTAAATATAGAATTAGAATTTGTAACATTTTTGGCTGTGTTTGTGCTGTAGGTGCTGTGAGCTTTGTAGTCTGTTTGGTTGTAGTCGGTCTGCTTGAAGTCTGTCTGCTTGTAGTCCGTCTGCTTGAAGTCAGTCTGCTTGTAGTCCGTCTGATTGTAGTCCGTCTGCTCAAAGCCCGGCTGCGTGTAGTCCGTCTGTCCGTAGTTCTGAGCATACGGGCCGTCGTAGTTTGGCTTCCCGTACGAAGGGTCCGCTGCGCTGCCGCCATACCAGTTGGAGCTGCAATAAGAAATCGAGTTTTCTGATTGATTTAGAAAGATAGAAGAGAAAACGAGATAAGTTGAAGCAGACAAAGCCGCTGCAAGCCGTACCCATCCTCCTCCCAGTTCTTTCTCCGCCTCCTGGAGGGCTTCTCCTGCCCCCGCGGCCTGCTGTTGTAATACAGGTCCAGCTCACCCTCCGCCTGGCCACTGCCACCATCCTGGTACCCGAAGTCGTCCATAGGAACTGGAGAACAAAAGCAAACACAAAAGTGTGGTCGAGATCGAGAACAGGGGGAAAATATTAAAAGTACAAA